ACAGCTGGGAAATAAATCGCAGTTTATTTTAGATCTGTGTGGCAGCAGCAATATACAGTAAATAAATCAATAAATCCACTGCTCTCTTGTCTCCTCTGAGGCTGGGAATCTAAACAGTGTTCTGTGCTCGTCTGTGCAGCCAAGACAGAAGAGTTAGCGTGTTTTGCTCAAACTTTCGCCATGGCATTAGAACTGGTACACCGTTGTCGCTTGTGAAATCAAAATGACGGCAACGTGGGTGGAAACTTACAGATTAAGCGGCAGTAATATTATAATGAGATCCCTTTGCCACGTCACCAAAAAAATCAGACGCGCTCATTTTTTTAGACGCTTGGGGAAAAAGGCTTACCAAAACAAAGTTACTGGGTTAATCTTTTTCACGTTTCCTTGGTTGGTAGATGCACCAGGGACCTGATTATAGCACTTAAAACCTGGAAAAGTCAGATTTTCATGATATGTCACCTTTAAATTAGTATTTTTATTGATCAAGGATGCATTAAATTGATCAAAAGTGACTGTAAATTAATGTAGCTTTGGTAAGCAGAAGAGACCTCTTTAAAAAAACATTTAAAAATCTTACCAACCCCCAAACCTTTAAATGGTAATGTATTTATTAATAATTATATGTATAATATGTGTGTATTTTTAAATTAATGAAATTAGATTTTTAAATCATTAATAATTGAAGGTTTGTTTTATTTAGTTTTCACTGTGTAAAGTATTCATTACAGGGCTTGGCTTGGGACGTGACACTGAAAAGCTTCAATAGTTGAAAATTCTGGTTGTGGTTAATCTCAGAGAAATACTAAATTTCTAATATTTCACACATTTCTAAAGCAATGCATGTAGTGATGAGGTACATTTATTTTTCTGAGGACACACACTAAGCCTTGAACTGCTGTCCTGATGGCGGTGGGAACCGTGCCATTGGACAGACTTAATCAGCACTTGTAAACTGGATGAGCTTTCAGGTTTGATCTTACCTGGAGAGGCCAAGTAAAGACACAGCGGCGTACGGATCACACTGGCCATTCACTATCGGCAGATCCTGACACTCTAAAACCCTGCGTAAAGAAAATCATTATGAGCTTCAAACACAAAAGCCCATTTTGGTACTCAACTCACCACCATTTGTGATCATCAGTGATTTTTTAAATAATTTGAATGAAAAGTATAAAAACATTTGTTGACATTAGTTATTTTTTAAAATTATAATTTTATAAAAATAATTTTATAAATGGCCTCAAAACAATCCACAACTATTTGTTGTACCACCTTCCAACATGATGTCACATCCAGCCAATCAGAACCGAGCTCTGTTTTGTTCAAACACAAATGACATCATCTGCTAAATGACATCAGCAGGGAATTACACAGACAAACGCTCTGTCTGAACACCTGGTGAATCAGAACACAGCATTCAGCAGACACAAAGTAGATTCACATCACCTCATAAACATACAGCGGTATTTTATATTTAGATATGTAAATGAACCAGCGCCTGGCTGAGAATGTGAATGTGGATCTAATGCTGATGAATGAACAGGATTTACAGCATCTCTAATACCATCCGATCCTTCCAGGGCACTTCCTGTGTGTTAAGCCTGTTTATATAATGCTGCGTCTGGCCTGGTCATACAGCCACCCATAAATACACCAGTCATGACGTCCAGCGCTGGGCTAAAACTGGCTGAGACCTACAGCATTTGTTCAATGTGATGCTTTCAGACACTCAAATCAACAAAGCTGTGTTGCAGTTAGTGCATGATGCATTGAGCTGTGATGCTCATATATACTCAGCTCTGATTGCATCAGTTTCATTTCTTAACATCACATACTGTCCTTATTTGATTATAAATATCAATAATAGCGGGAAAAATACACAAATTTAAGATGCATCGCTAGAAATTTTGATAAATACTGGTACCCAATCACAATTGGTTCTACGGGGGTACTAGAGGGTGCTAAATACCCTCAAATGAAAGCAAAAGCAACTAAAGATCTGGCAAACTATCCAGTGCGTATTTGCGTTTGCGCTCTGGACAGCTATTTACATGTTTTTGCCGCATTGAGCAATGTAGCCAATGAACGCAATGGCCATTCAGAAACGTTTTAGTTTGTCAAAATTTACTCACCACTGAAAGTGCACTTTATTAAGTGCAGTTTTGCACACTTGTGAATAGTGGACGACCGATATATCGCCAAGGCCAATATATGGGCCGATATTTGGCATTTTTCAAATATCGGCATGGGCCGATAAGTTTTCCTGTTTGGCCGATGCGTTCTAGGTGGGACTTTTATTTTGATGGTGCGACGGACTTTTATTTTGACGGCGCTGAGAACGGTAGCGCCTGAGTACACAGTGCTTACAATCTCCCTCTTGTTCGCTGTTGTCGTTCAGTTCTGTCTAATATGGATTATCTAATACGTCTGTCTAATAATCAGATAGAACGGTTAAACAAAGGAATTAAAATGTATACAAAAAGTATTATAACGATTGCTTTTATATTATTAGTAATAGAAAGGCAAACATTATAATACTTTCTTGTTTGTCGTCAGCATTCAGCAAATACGCATTTATATCATTTAAACAAATCTTTGAATGTCTAATGAACATCTAATTTCAAAAACCTTGCAAACTTAAGTCGGATCCAGTTGTGAGATCTTGTGAAGTGTGCATTTGTATCCTGCATGATCGCGTGTTCTCTGCGTGACGGTCGATCCGTGTGAATTGAATGCGGACAGGAGGAGAGTTCAGCTTCACTGGAGACGCGCGATTGACAAACTTTAAACTATTTAAACAAAAAAACAATATCGGTCGACCACTACTTGTGAATCATCTCATGACTAAGTGCAGGCGTGATGTAAATAAGAGTTTTCTTTCATAGGTTCATCCCTTGTTCCGATTGTCTGAAGCCCGTATGGATTGGCTGATGGTGCGGCCGCCACCCAGACGTCACTATGTCATCCACTCTAAATGCCACGTTCACACAGCAGCAGAATACGGTTGTCAGTCCTGTATTTGAGTTCTTAATACGGTTACGTTCACACACAGAGTACGGTTATTTTCAGGCGTGACAACCGCATTCTGTAACAGAACTCACACCCGTAAATTTTCAGAACTCCCAACTGCATTCTCTGAAAACCCATGCTGTGTGAACAGAACAGAACTGGACAACTAGTTGTCTATCACATCATACAGTGCGAGAGAGCCGCTCTGCTGCACAAGCGCGTGTTTTCCTTGCGGCTCAATTGGACTCTTGTCGTGTCAGAAAGTGATAAGCCTTTCAGTTTTATGGATGTCGCCATCTTTGATATTACTTTGGTCACTGTTGCTATGGTTACTGGTAAAACAGGCTTGACTCCCGTTGCACATTCATACAGACAGTATCCAAGATGCTACTGTAAGTTGCTGTGTGAACGTGACATTTCGAGACTCACACCTGTAAGTAAATGCGGTTGTCAATCCCAAAAACTGACAGTGTGAACGTAGCCTAATACTGGTCGAACGCGCCATTCACTCCTCAGATTTCCTTCCTTCAGAAGTGGTCGTTTAGCCCTTCAGAAGTGATTTATCTGGCCTGTTTCGGCACACAACTGATCGTTTATTTTTTCTTCACGTGTCTCGCCTTTGGTAACAACGATTCAAAACAGACAAATTTCGAGTGACAGTGGAAAAAGACAGAAAATTTTAATGAACATCAGAAAAGGAAGCATCGTTCAAATCAGCAGCAAGAGTCAAAGCTAGTCCACAATTTAGTAAACGTTGGCAACCTCTTTAAGTTATTCTTCACTGTGCTGTATTGACTGCTTTGATGCATTGCAATATGGTAGGGCATTGTTTTGATGCTTACATCCGAAAAATATATATTTATATATTTTTTTTTTGCATAATAAAGAGTCCATAAACACAATAAGAGTCCATGAAAACGAAACTAAAGCTAAAGTGAACATAATGGTGATATATATATATATATATGTATATATATATATATATATATATATATATATATATATACACACACACACACACACACACACACAGTCATTGTCAGAATTATTGACACCCTTGGTAAATATGAACAAGGAAGCCTGTGAAAATATATCTGCATTGTTAATCCTTTTGATTTTTATTTTAAAAATTCACAAAAATCTAACCTTTCAATGAAGTAAAACAATTGAAAATGGGGGAAAATGTTATAAAAATGTTATGAAATAAATGTTTTTCCGAAGTTCTCTTCCAGGCAGATTTGTAACATTTCCTGTTGATTGGAACTTCTTAATTACTGTGCTGATGGTGGAAATGAGAATAGATATGTTCTTACAGCCACTTTTTTGTGAAGCTCAACAATTATTCTGTTTTTCTCATTGTGATGGATGATTGAGGGAATTTGGTCTTTGTGTTCCCTAATATATATATTCCTGTGAAACAGGAAATCATTAATGGACAATTATAAATATGAATGGGAATGTACTTTTACTCATAATAATTTCTAGGGGTGCCAATAATTGTGGCCAGTGCGTATTAGAGAAACTGAACTCATAAGGCCACCAGTATGTTTTGCAATCATAATAAAAAACATGTGAAATTGTGTAATGCATTTTAGGCCTATATTTCCTGCTTTATCTAAAAGAAAAAGCCCTTGCCATGTCAAAGTCACACACCAGAATCACAGCAGCAGCAGTGCAATGAAGCTCATGTACTGAATGAATCAGTGTGTGTGTGTGTGTGTGTGTGTGTAAACATAATCCTCGTTGTGTCTTAAAATGGAAGCTGCATAAATATCCTGTGAATGAAAGCACTGCTCATTGTGACACTAAGCTCATTACCCAGAGTGCTTCAGTGTAGGAAACTGTCCAGACATGGACCTACTAATGCTGTGAAAGCATATGAAACCTACATGGGCACACACACACACACACACACACACACGCGTGCAGCACATACTGCATGTTCTCATACATTAACTCATTTTCATTCAGATAACTGACAGTACAGCACAGATGCATTCATGCAGTTACAGATATGTGAAGATATGTCCAGTGTATGCACACACACACACACAAACGCAGCAGACTTCAGTTCACTTATTTACTCTCAGTCTGAGTGTTGCGTTTCTCTTGTCATTTTAAATAAAGCGTCAGGCGCTAATCAAGGCATCAAACCACACAGTGACTGCAGCAGATCAGCAGAGCTTAACTATGATGCTAAAATGCACTTCAGTGAATGTGCAGACTACATCACACTACTGCTGAAGAATGTACACTACACAGTATGCAACATTACTGCACGCAATAAAATCTGCAGTAAACAACACTGATGAGCACTGGCTGAGATGCCAGGTAATGGACATTCAAAGGCAATGATGGTGGTTTGTGTATTCATCACATGCACTTTTATCAAACACTATAGAATACCCAAGACGTGTCACTTTTATAGTTTTGAATGAGGAAAAATGCAATGCTCAATATGGCCGCTCTATTGAACGAAGCCCCGCCTTCTGAGTAAAAGAGCCAATCGCTAATCGGTAAAGTCATCGCGTTACTGCAGCTGCCATTAGAAGTCCCGGTTGCTATAGAAACAGTCAGCGTTCTGAGACGTGCACTCAGGACTGCGCATGCACACTGGCTGGTATAGCCTGAAAAAAGCTTTTTTATCGCTATTTGAGCAAAAGAAACAACATTTATGAGACTGTTGTTGTCAGATTTCATTGGTGATTTCAAATCTGAAATTGAATCATAAGCTTGGCGAACGGTTTTGGAGAATTTGATGTTTCCCCATTCAAAGAGCTAGGAGCTGCACTTGCATGCCCGAGAGGCATTTCAAAGATGGCCGCTGAGTGACATGACTTGCCTTAAAGTAGTGCTGTACAGTGCGACATATATCATACTCATGAAGTGCGCTCACACTGAGAGCCTGTCAAAAAGCGCCTGATTATTGGTCTAAGTTGTCTTTCGCGTCTGATTGATTTAGCGTCTAATACTGTCAAAAACACACAAGGTTTACATATAAACACAGTTGGTTATGTCTAAAATTAAAGTAAACAGTTGAGAGAGAAACGCA